AAATAATGTAGCTGCTGTCTGCAAGAGACTGGATCCCAGCAGGGTGGGGAAATAGACAAAAAGCGGTTTTATTTGGATGGAATGAACTTACTCGTCGTGATTGACTTGCCACTGGTTGACAAACACACAGAGGTCCTTCGGGATGAAGTAGCCATTCAGTGCAGTGGGTTTCGTTGTGCTGGAAGAAACAGGGGCTGTCAAGTTTAAAACGCAGCAAGGTCCCTTGCAGGTGAATCTAAGTGAGGTCAAGTTCCAGAGAACTGTGTACATCTTTTCATTTGCATTCCTCAAACTTCCTTGTCTGTACTTGCTATGTTAATTGTGGACATTTCTGGGGAATTAAGAACTGTCAAACTCATACTGGCAAAGAATTCCTGTTGAACTGATCAGGTGACATCGTTTCTCCCCAAGAAGAGAAAACATTAAGAAACAGTGCAAGGCTGTTAGAGGTATAGCATGAGGCCAACTGGAAGGTCTGAAGCAATGTTCTCTCTAATCTTTTCCATTCATGTGTGGAATAATTTTATGTACATTGAGGTATGTGGGAATGTGCACCAAAGACCCCAGCTGTGGGTGCTCTGCTAATCAGCTGGGTGGCATCTGAATCACTCCTCAGTGGCTGCACAAGCACACAGCTTACAGGGAATACTGATCTGAAGTGAAACTCTACGTGGGATTTAGAAGCTTGCAATCAGCAGCTAATGCTGTTGCTTAGGTATAAACTAGGGGGCTGCGTCTAGACTGGCAAGTTTTTCCGCAAAAGCAGTTACTTTTGCGGAAAAACTTGCCAGCTGTCTACACTGGTCGTTTGAATTTCCACAAGAACACTGACGATCTCATGTAAGATTGTCAGTGTTCTTGCGGAAATGCTATGCTGCTCCCGTTCGGGCAAAAGCCCTCTTGCGCAAATGCTTTTGTGCAAGAGGGCCAGTGTAGACAACGTGGTATTATTTTGTGCAAAAAAGCCCCGATGGCGAAAATGGTGCTCAGGGCTTTCTTGCGCAAAACTGCATCTAGATTGGCACGGATGCTTTTCTGCAAAAAGTGCTTTTCGTTAAAACCTTTCCGTTAAAAGCATTTGCAGAAAATCATGCCAGTCTAGACACAGCCGGGATGTTAAAGTCTAGTCAACTATCCGATAAGCAAATGCTTGTCAGATAGTCGATTTTCCCCCCTTGTTGCCTCTATCAGCAGCAAGGGCAGGGGGAAAATGGGGTACTTGAAAGCAGCAATGCCGCACAGCTGAGCCTGGGATCAGCTGTACTCATGGAGCCCGGGATCAGCTGGGGAGTCCCCAGGGAACTGGGGGTTCTGGAGAAATGCTGCAGAGTCCCCAGCTGACCCTGGCTCCGCATGGCATTTCAAAGCAGCAGCACAGCATGACCCCAGGCTCCATGCTGCGCTGCTGCTTTGAAATGCACAACAGCTCCCGTTGGGGACTCTTGTGCATTTCAAAGCAGGCACCCATGTGCAGCCCGGAGTCAGCAGGACTTCCCACTGGCCCTGGGCTGTACCTGGAGTTCCGCATTCCTCCTCTGAAATGTACAACAGCCCCAGTGAGGGCTCTTGTACATTTCAAAGGAGGAATGCGGAAGTGCCTATCAACTAGTCGATGGAAATTCCGTCGAGTACTTGACTAGTCAACTAACTGCTAGTTAACATCCCTAATACAAACCCCAGCTAAAGTCACCTCTCTAGCAACACAGCTTCATCAGCTGCCGAACTGGAGCTAATCCCATAGACAGACACTACCTGAAGGGTTTGAATAATGAATTAAAATGTGCAGCTGCATATTTCCCCCATATTCCATGCAAGGCTGGAGGGCCCCCTTTGCACTAGTCCTACAGGAGCATAGTTTGCTTGGCTTCATAGCAGGAGGCAGTTAAAGTGATAACGGTAAAATAATTGTGTTTGCCTCCTTCCTTGCAGACCGAGTCAGAAGCCCAGTCGCACAGAGTAGCACCACAAAAACGGTGTCACACTCCAGGCCTGATGAGGACGGCTTACCAGTGAGGAATGGTGAAGGGCAGGAAGGAGGAATGTCTGAACATCTCTAAGATAAAGGCTTCTGTGTAAGGCAGCGTGAGCCGGTCTGACAGTCTGGGTCGCCTCTCTCTGCCAATGATCCGATCTACAGGTTAGAATGGAGGAAGACGTTGGAATCCAGCCTTTGCGATACAGACAGACATGGAAGCAAGTTTATAACAGAAAGCACGAATCTACCTAATTCTTCATGAATCTTCTTCTGAATTTCTGGATAGGTCACAAGATACATAAGACTCCAGGACAAGGCTGTTGTCACGGTGTCAAAGCCTGGTTAGACACAAAGAAAAGTCATCTTTTAGACAAGTCAAAGGAAATTTGCTACCCGAGACTTTCGATTTTCATCATTTCTCAGCCAGTTTAACAGTGTTAATGTTCGTAGTAGCAATGCTATTAGCAAGAGTTTTTTTTTTTTTTTTATCAACAACCTGCTAAGATTCATCAAAAGCGTGGAGGTGCCATGATTTTAATTCAGAAGTGTTTGGACCCAAAATGTTAGTTCAGCTCTAGTTTTATCATCCCTCACTCTGAATTGTCAGCACTAAACTACAGTACACAATGGTCTCCTGAGAACTTGTTGTATAGCTCCTGTTCCTACAGAGGCCTTCAGGGGGACTGAACTGCCAAAGACTCTGGATTCAACAACTTCCCCGCATTTGGTTTGGGAAAAAATGTGATTGCTCTGTTCCTAACAGCCAACTGAAACAGCCTTTTTAGGCCTTCAAATGAGAGCTACCAGAAATGGGACAGCAAAAGCTGAGATTGCTTTGGGTTTGAATGCAAGTGTCCTTACCAGCTCCAAAGAGGTCATTGACAAGGGTGACAATCTTCTCATCAGACAACTGAACGCTGGCAGACTCGTCCACTTTTTTCTCCTCACAATGCTCGATCAGGGAGTCAGTGATGTCCCGAATGTGGTCCTGAAATAGCAACATCTACAGGTTGCAAGCGGTAATAAATTCCACAACACTAGGGCAAATAAGTGAGCCATGAGGGTGAACTTGAAGCATGATTTACACTGCAGATAAGCTTTTCTCCCCTACAGTCATTGAACAGATCATGCTATTTGTCTCAGTGGAGGATAATTGCTACAAAAGAGGACTATCTTGCGTCCTACAGCAGCTATGAAACTTGGATTAAAGAGTTATAATCCACTGAAAAAGTCTTTAGTAGGGAGAGCAAAATATAGCAATCGGATAGTTTATAAGAAATAATTAGGTTTAATTTGCAAAGTGTCCATGGGAGACCTGTTATTTGGCTAGAGAGAAGATGTACTACAATCACCACAATCACAGCTTCAAGCAATATTTGTTTTGAGCCAGAAAGCAAATGAGGAAAGGCAAACGAGGGCAGGAAAACGGATGCAAATGAATCGCCTCCAAGCAGTTACCTTATCAAAGCTGCTGTAGTGCTCCTTAACAATCTTCTGCACAAAGGTGTCGAACCTCTTATTGAGATCCTTGAAGATTTTCATGGCGCGGCTGGGGAGATACTGGAGCACTGGGATGAAGTCTGCAGGGTTGCCGGAGGCAGCCACATCCCCGAACTCATTGTTCAAGTTGACCATACTGAGTAATTCTTGGTCGTCATGGTCATAACGCTTGCCAAAGCACATGGCACAGATGACGTTGGCCACAGAGACCACAACGTACTGGTAGGGGTCAAACCTTTTCTTCTCCTCCATCAGCTGCAGGAACTTTTTGACGAGGTAGTCTGCTTCTTTGGAGACGTGCTCCTCAAGCAGGCAGGTGGACGAAGAGTTGGGGCTGGGGGAGACAGAGAAGGTCTTCAGGGCACTCTGGGCCAGTTTCCTGCGAGCTCGCCACACCTCCCCTGAGTCCGTGCTGAAAGTCATGCTCTGGCCGTCCGCAATGAATCGGAAGCTGTAGAGATCAGGGCGCCCCATGAAGTCTTCCGCTTGCTTCACCAGGGCTTGCTTGAGGGTGTCCAAGCCACTCAGCACCAGCACGGGTCGGGTGCCAATCCGGATCTGCATCACGTCGCCATACTCCTGGCTCATCCGGGTCAGGGTCAGGTGTGGATTGCTCCCCAGCTCCAGCACGTTGCCGATGAGGGGGTAACCCCGGGGTCCTGGCAGCCTCTTCAGCTCCTGGGGGAGCTGCTGCCGGAAGGATCGGATGACCAGGGAGATCAGACAGAAGACAGCAGAGGCGACAAGAATCTCAGTGACAGAGATAATGCCTTGGCTTCCCACCAGGGATATGGCAGCCTCCATCTTCAAGGCCCTGAGAACCCTAAGATTAAAACAAAAAAAGGTAAGAGGTAAAGAGCAGGAGGCACATCAAGTTATAAGGCAACATTCTGTTGGTCGCTTCACAAAGCTTGTAGTCAAGAAACCTTGTTTACAACTTTAGGCAAGTTACATTGGGCTAGCAGTCTGCATATGCTGCCCTGTACCCTTGAGTAGTACATCTGAGGTGTCTCGCTGATTTTCCAGCTTTACAATTCTAGGTTTATTGAATCACCGAGTTTGTGAACAGCAGTGCCTTTTAACACCCACACAAGATCTATAAACACGTACAGCAAAATTGCCCTCTTTGGGCTTTAAAGAAGAGATAGGATATGAAGTTGAAGTGTTGCTTTCAACACATTAGATGTTCCTTGTACTGTCAGGTTTCCACAGACAGTACTTTTGTAGCTGCATCAAGTGACAAATTTCATTGCCTTAACTCTAGCTTACACACCTACGCGGTCCTTTTCAAAAGGCTGTTTCACCTCTCTGCAAAATCTACTTCCCAGAGACATGTTCTGTTTGAACTGCCTTACTTGAAATAATCAGAGACAAAACTTGCTGCATTGATTTTACTCCTAACAGTTTCCAGGGCAAGAGATCTTGCTCCTGTCATCCTAAGAGTTAGCCCTTTACATTTATAGACACAAGACTTTAAAAGGATCCTAAAGTATTTTCCACACTATATGCTTGTGACAATGGGCTATTAGCAGCTGTAGGGTGCGTCTACACTGCCCCCGGTGCTCGAAATATGTGACATAATTTGAGCTACACAAATGGCGTTGCTTATTTTGAGGCAATTTCGAAATCGCTTGTTTCGAAATTTGGCACCGACTACGCGACTCTTATTTTGAAATAGAGTGCTATTCCGAAACATCCCGTACTCCTTCTAGAATGAGGCTTACAGGGACGTCAGAATAGCGAGCCCATTGTATTTCGAAATAACGGGCACACTCAAATGACACGGACTAGCTCTGCAGTGTACATGGTGCAGCCTGTTCACTTATGCCTGCACAGCCCCATTGCGTGGCTGCAGCTGGCCCAGATCAGCTGACTTGGACTCAGGCATGTGGAGCTAAAACGGGCTGTGTAGACACATTCGGGCTTGGGATGGAGCGGGACCTTGTGCTCATCCATCCTTGCACAGTCCCAGAGCTATGTTCTACCCTAAACGCAAACATCTCCTCAGCAAGATTTCAGCCTTGTGAGCCTGCAGCAGCAGAGCCAGGCCAACTGTGCGGGTTTTATGCCTGGGTAGACATACCCTTAGATAGAGTCCCTGGGGCGCAGTTAGAGGTAGAGGGAATTAGCTAGGGAAGGCTAGAAGAGATTATGTGCACTGTAAAGGACCTGATGAGTTACTGGGGAAACTCACTTAGCTGGTGACTCCAGCAGCACAAGAGACAGAGCCAGGGAGCTCCTAGTGCTGCTATCTCGGTGTTATACCTGACTCACAAGGGGGAAATCAAGACCCTCTGGTGTATGCTGTTTTCACCCAGGCAGGTTTCCAGGCACTGAAGGATGGCCCTGTTAGCAGCCCCACGGATTAGTCATGGGTCACTGCCAGCCTGGTGACATCCAACCCAGCCCATCTAAACACCACAGGCAGGATTTTGCTTCAGAGCCCCAAAGAACCCCGCTGTGGACATATTGCAATGCCTGGAGCAGAACCCGATGGTTCCCTGATAGGTTGTCAGTAGGATACCCTCATTCACTATGGGAACAAAGAAAAGATGCTTTACCAAGAGGACATTCTGGGGTGCAGAGTGTAACTACCCATGTTGTAATTTGGCCCTGACAGAGTCGGATGTCCCTAGTCTTTCTGAAGGTACCACAGGATGCAAGTCTTGTGGGTTTGAGCTCAGTTTTTTAAGATTCCCAAGAATAGGCAAGGCAGAGATGGGCTTACCAAGATCTTTCTTAGTATGACCGCACTAAGGATGTTAAGGACTAGTCCACTATCTGAGAAGTGAAAGCTTATTGGATAGTCCAGTCGATTTCCCCCCCCACCCCTGCTGCCTTTATCAGATAAAGGCAGCAAAAGGGGGAGAAGGGGGTACTTTGAAGCCGCAGCACCACACGGCACCCATACCTGGGCTCTGTGTGGCGCTGCCCCTTTAAAAACCCTGCCATACCATTTCAAAGCGGCAGCGCCATGTGGAGCCCGGGATCAGCTGGGGAGTCCCCAGCTGACCCCAGGTTCCAGGGAAATGCCACACAGAACTGGGCTCCACGGGGCATTTCAAAGCAGCAGTGCCGCAAGGGGTCTGGGGTCAGTGGGGGACTGAGTCCAGGCTCCATGAGGGTGCTTTTCAACTCTTGTACATTTCAGAGCTGGCACCCACGTGCAGCTCGGAGTCAGAGGGACTTCCCGCTGGCCCTGGGCTGCACATGCACTCCTCCTTTGAAATGTACAAGATCCCCAGCAGGGGCCTATTGATTAGTCGATGGAAATCCCATTGACTACTCAACTAGTAAATTACTCGCTATTTAACATCCTTAGACCGCACCCCGTTTCTTCAGGCCAGTGCAGTTTTAGTCAAGAGTCTGTGATAACCCCTGCATGCCTCTCTCCAGAAGGGTGCGTTGAATGAGCAGCTGTCTCTGCTTACCACACCTGGGATCAGACACCTGTTACTTTAGGCATGCATGTTTCAGATACACTGGACTTTATCAGTTCCAAAGAGCACTGGGTGGGTTATAGTGTCACTGATTCACCCATGAAAGACTGGTGGAGAAGAGAGTGCACCTCATGTTTCCATGGAAGGGAGAGATGTAAGTTACCAAGATAGGAAAAATCTGGACTGGGATTTCCTTCACCTAGTTCACACTGAAGGAAGCATGTGACTGAATAGAAAGATGACAGAGGACAAGGAGGTGATGGGTCAACTATTTAAAAAGGGTCTGTTCTCTTGGGGGTGGGTATTTTTTTAAAGTCACCAGGCACCCCAGATTAGACATTTGTGCCCATCATTGCATGGGCTCCATGCACAAACAGGACTGGTTCCTAATTGTTTAGGGAAGGGAAATCGTTGGAGACTTGGAGAGTATTAAGTGGCAGCTTTCCACCTTTGCAAGCGAGCCAAGCGGGTCCCAGAGAAGACACATTTACTCTGCAGAGCCAAGGCACGAGGGGTGGAGGAAGATCTGAAACCAAGGATCATATCTTGGGGGCATTGAGCTCAGAGCATCTGAATGGATCTAAAGCAAATCTGTGGGGTTTCAGGGAAGAGTTTTGCCAAACACTATTGACTTCCCTTGGCCTCCATTTTTTGTTCCTTCTAGGAGATTTCAATTCATTCCCCCTTTACCCTCCACAAGGGTTATTATGCTCCATCCTACATTCCTTACTCCTCCAAGCCTCGAGGAAGAGCAGTCAGAGCTTTCATCTGGGAGCCCCAATGACACACCCACACACAGAGACCCAGATCAGCCACACTCCACTAACTACAAGGTTCCCAGCCAGTTACTCAAGCCAGGGGCAAGAGATTTAGGGACTCCATCCTTTTGCCCTGGGACAAAAGTTTTGCTAAGAACTTTGACAGACCCTCGATTTGGCCCTTAGTTATTGCTGATTGTGTGCATGGCTTCCTGCCATTATAACTGTCCCCTGCGAGTTACAGGCAGAGGTACATAGGGCACCGGTCCAGCTATTTGGTTTCGTTCTGGTTTTTGGCGATCAGGTTTAGATTCCTCTCCCTCCGCTCCCGAGCGTGCGTGGCAGGAGGGGGCAGGTAATTGGAGCGCCTGACAAGGGCTGTCCTTGGTGAGGAGAGAGAAAGATTTTTATATCTATATGCAAAGCCCCCAGGCAGCCACATTTAGCAGCCCCCCTCCCCACAAGCGTTTACACGGCGCCGGATCTGGCACCCCAGGGGAAGCACTGCGGAGACGGGTAGGCGGGGGAAGCAGCCCTGCGGTACCTGCGCGTCTGTCCGGGATGCTCGGCGCAGCTTGCCTTGGAGACCGCTTCTCAGGAGTGGGGCGCGCCTGGGTGCAACTCGGAGAGGCCCTGGGGTTTGCGGTGCCCACAACGTGCTCCTCGCCAGCAGCTTGCCTGGCGTGCTACTTTCTGCTGGCTTTATATGCACCTCCTCGCGCCCTGATTGGCCGAGCCGTCTCCCGTCACGTGACAAAAGTGTGCGAGGAGCTTCTACCTCTCAAGGAGGGACCGGCCGCTCCCTCCCTCCCCATCCTCCCCGCCGCGGTGGGTTGCAGGGGACAGGACAGAGGCGCGACCTGTGGGCAGAGATCAGCTCCGCAGAAATTGTCAGAGGCCAATAGCGGGGGGAGAGAAGCTCGGTCAAACCCACGCCCGCGCCAGAGGCTCCTTGGAGAGAGCCAGGGATTCCCAGCGCAGGGGCGCCAGGGCAAGACGCAGGGGCTCTCCGGCGCTGCGTCTGCTGGAGAGCGCGCCTGGCGAGGTTGGCTCTGCCCGTGCCAGAACCCGGCTAGCGCCTCCGTCCAGCTTCAGCCAACCCGGATCCCCCAGCCTCGGCTCTGGCTGGTCCTTGCTCACTAGCCCCTGGGAGTCTTTATTGGCAGGGGGAGGCTGTAGGGTGGGTATCTCTGCGCCCGGGCTCCGGGGAGCTCCAAGGGATGTTTCCAAGCGTGCCGAATGCGCCCTGGTGCGCGCAATACCCAGCCAGTTTTAGCCCTCCACACCATCAGCCCTGTGCAGGGGCAGCTGCGCCACGGGCCACTCCTAGGCCAGTGCAGTCTCACTGACCCCTGTGAACTCAGGAGAGGGGTGCAATTTGGGAGAGAAAGGGGGGAGCCTTTGTATTGGTCCAAGCTCTGCGCACACGCTTTGTAGGCACATAGAGCTTTTCTCCGGGCAACCTCTGTACAGGCACCGCTTCCTTAGCCCTGAAGTTCCTAACCCGCTCCTCTGCTCCCAGGCCATTCCCCCCACAGGGCCCTGTCCCACCCTCCCCCCAGGGCTGGGAGACCCCTCCTCGTCCTTTGAGCTCTCTCGGGAGAAGCAGCGCTCAGACAAGCCGCACCTGCACCCAACGGCTCAGTTCCTTTGCGGAGCGGGGAGGGTGGTACGCAGAAAACCGACGTGAAAATGCCCTTTCTGGTTAGAGCAGAGGTCTGGGAGCCAGCCCTAAAGTCCCGCGAGCGGGGCCATAACTGGGTAATTAGCCACGGAGCAGATTAAGAGCAGTGGCAGTTCCACAGCCCGTGTGGTTCTGTAAAGCGCCTGTAACATGCCCGGGCCAGGCAGTAAACTTGGGAAGCAGGGATCGTAATTGGAAAGTTTCATAAGGGAGAAGGGGAGGAAAAGTTTCATAAGGAAGGGAGGGGAGGAAAGCCCCATCCACAAACCTCCCCCTCCCCACACACACACACAGCGCATCCTTCATCTGCCCTGCGCTGCTCTATTTCTCCCCAGGGCTGTGCAGCGTGGCGCCCCCGATCACCACAGGGCAACGTTTTCCTGGCCCTGGGACATGACCCACCCCGTTGCACTCTCCAGGAGCCAGGGGCCGTGGGTCTGGGGGGGGATGAAAGAGGGGCCGGGCTGCGCGCCCAGCGCAGAGGGTTTCCAGGCAGAGCCGGGCCAGGTTAACGATTGGTGAGGTTCGCGTGAGAAGCGCGTTGGCTCCGGTTCACCACGCGCCCCGTGCAAACAGGAGATTGGGGAAGGGCCCAGGGGAGCTGGGGCGGGGGCCGGGAGGTCACTGCTCCAAAAGCACCTTTTGCGCAACGTGGCCGGAGGGACCCTCGCGTGCGGAGGGCGCAAGGGCAGATGAGCAGGGACGGGCAACCTGCCGGAAGCCCCCCATCCCTGCGGGAAGCTCCCCCGGCCCTGGTCGCGCGTGGGGCGGGCGAGGTGGGTAGGCGCTGACTGGCGGCACAGCCAGGAGCTACTCCCCTCTGGCCGGGTTCCATTGACCCCCAGCGGGCAGCGCACGCTGAGCGCGTCTGAGCTATTCCCCCTAAGGCAGGGCCCGATCCGGGTCCCACTGAGGATGGGGGGGGGGCGCCCCGCGACGGCAGGATCGGGCCCACGGAGCAGCAGCTGCAAGCGGCTCAGCCGGAGTCCCGGCTTCGAAGCGGCGGAAGAGGGGAGAGGCTGGGGGCTTGGAGCAAACACCCCGCCAGCCACCCGGCCCTGATCCCGGGCCCTTGGAGGCGGGGCGGGAGGGGGCTGCCCCGCTCCAGCCCCTCCCCCCACCCCGGGCTGTGCAGTGGGAGGGGACGAGGGGGCAGCCCCGGGGCTCCGGGGCATCGCGTGAGAAGGGGCCTCGAATGATTTCACTCTCCGGACAAACCTGTCGCGCCCTGGTCACCCAGTCACGCTAGGGGAGGGCTCTTAAAGGGACCGCGCCCTGTTACTCTTTCTTCTGCCCGCTTTCTTCTCCCAGATGCCTGCGGAGGGAAGGGGGGGGCTAGGAGGGAGGGGGCTGTAAAG